AACTCTGCTCAACAGGTCTCACCTCAGGTTGTTCTTCGTCATCACTCAGTTTTCTCCTCTTCCTCGGCCTCTCCTCCTCCTTCCTTGTGAACTCCGCCTCCTCAGGTGAGGAGGTTGTTGTGGGCGTGGCTTGTGCGACAGCTGCTCGTTTAGTGGCAGGTGATGGCGCTGCAGGTCGGCATGTCCGAACTTAACAGACATTTTCAAACAAGTAACAGGATCAGAAAGGGCGCCCCCTGCAGGCAGAGGGAACACAGGACGGGTCTTTGTTACCTGTCGGGGTGGAGGGCGGAGTCTTTGCAGCAGGTACAGGCGCCAGCATCCATGCAGGTAAAACTCTTCTCCTGGTCACAGACGGAGCGGCGCCGCGCTGATCGTCTTTCACCGATCCTGCCGAGTCTCCCTGAAAGAAACGCAACAAGACGACTTCACTGATTGGCTGCTCACTTTCACACCGCCATCCACTGAGCCACTGACACACTCACTGTGGGATCAAACACGTGAAGCCGCTGGCTGTGGCGCCCCCTGGTGAACGAGTATTAGTATTACAGTGAGTCCTGTTCTGATGATGATTATTTCTGTCAGTGTTTGTTTGTCTCAAAACTTTATTGATAAACTTTTTTAAAACAAACTAAAGTTTCATGTTTCTGTCACATCACATGAACCCTGCACTCTGAAAGCGCCTCCTTCATTAAATATTCACACTTGCTGACGTCACTCTTAGGCCCCGCCCCCTGAGGAGTCCTTCTCCAGCAGCTTCTCGTCTCTGAAAAGTTCAGCCTACCTTGAACGGTCTCTCGGCCTCCTCGTCTTCCTCCGGAGCTGCTGACGGCGGCTCCTCCTGGTTCAGTCTGGCAGCTGGACGTAGATCCACAGCTGGATCAGGAGGAACAGGAAGTGTCTCTTCTTCTTCTAACATCTGGCTGTTCCTGTGGGGAGCGAGACTTATGCAGATAAATGTGAACTTCTGTGAGCTGGAAGCTCGGCGTGAATTTTAACGGCATTAACTTTGATGTCAGCTTCAAAGAGCGCGAACCTACGCTGTGCCTAATGTTCTGGCCAAGCGTTTAACCCCGCACGGCGTGGCCCGCACAGATAAACCTCGTTACCTGAGAGCAGCCTCCACCTTCATTACTCAGCGACACGGTTCGAGTCTTTGTCTCGACCGACATCAGGACAGAACGGAGCGTTTTTCAGACGTCAGAAGTACCTGGACGTGCGCTCGTCTCCGCCCACTGACACCACCTCGTAGATGAAGCGACCCGGCAGCAGAGAGAAGAAGTCTCCGTGACGAAGGACGTGCCAGGAACCTTTCTGCAGAGGTCGAGGGTCATCGGTGCGGGTCGACTGAATGAAGCACGGGTTCAGGTGTGTCTGAGGA